TCAAGCCCTTCTGCCTGGCTGAGGTTCCCCATCTGGGTCATTCTCCCAAAAGCCTGGCACATCTGTGCACACAGGTCTTAACCCTTGATAAAGAAGAAGGCTGTTCAGGGACAGCAGGAAAGGGCTAGGGGGTGGGCAGCTCAGGGACACCTTCCTGGGCAGCACCCATCCCAAGGCCCGTAATCAGATAAATCTAGACCTGCCCCAGATCAGTCACCCCTACAATAGCCTCCTGAGGTGCACCCTTGTGTCCTGAGAAGCATGCCAGGCCCTGGTATCCCCCAGGAGGCCATTCAACATATGGGCATGCAACAAGGCACCACAGTAGAAGACAAGATCTTGGGGGAGACAACATGGAATCAGGAGCTAAGGGGAGTGAACATCAGAGCATAGCACAGCCTTCAGTGTCTGAGTGTCCAGCAGCCCATCTACATAGGGGCATGTAGAGCTATGTTTGGTGTAGAGAAATGTCAGAAAGGGCCAGGCAGTGGTAGTGCACATCTTTAATTGCAGCAGGGGCAGATGGATCTCTGTGAGTTCTAGGACAGCCAGGGCTACACAGAGAAACACTGTCTTGAAAAAAGCACAAGTGTAAGAGGAGCAGGGGAAGTACAGGAGGGCACGGGCGGTGTGCGAGGGCACGGGCGGTGTGCGAGGGCACGGGCGGTGTGCGAGGGCAGGGCAGCGTGTGAGGACATGGGCAGAGTGTGAGGACATGGGCGGTGTGTGAGCACTTGGGCAGTGTCATCTTTCTACAGCACATTCTCTTTTGTGAATCTTCACAACTTCATGCAAGGCCTAGGCGTAGGCCAGGTCTGGTGTCTCCCTTGGCCACTTTGCCTACTCAATGATTCTAGTCCCTCTCCAACCTCCAGGGCCTCTCAGAAGACTCAAGAATTATTTCTCCTAGTCAGACAGAGCTCCTAGGTGGAGGCAAGGGGTCCGATTTACTGGCTGTTGGCATCCTCAACCTTCTGGAAAGGTCCCTGTCTGCTGGGGTGTAAGGCAGATGGGCCGGCATACAGCCAACTCCAGAGGTCCTGCCACCAGAACCAACCAGTCAGTCACATATCCTGAGTTGGGGACTCAGACCTATCCCTGTCATGCATGTTCATGACAGGGTTCAGGCTCACAGAGTGGAATATCCAATGGCCAGGCCATAGTGACAACCAGTTGACATGCTGCCAATATGGCCTCCTCAGCACCTGTGAACAGAAAAGCCGCCATGGGCAGGCACCACTCTGGGGCTGGGTATCAGCTCCCGTTTTCATTGTTCATGTGAATGGACAGCCCTCTGACTGCCACAGGGTGGAGAAGGCAGGCACGTGCTGAGCCTCAATCCAAGCCCATGTATGGCCATGAGACCAGGAAGGACACAAAGCCCAGGCCACACAGGCTACTGCCACGGTGGTCCTGGTTGGCCAATACCAGCTTTAGCTGCACTAAAGAGTCTGCATCCACCTCCAACATCTTCCTTACTTCCTTCCCAGCCCCTTCCACATCATGCCCTGCCTCCACCTGCCCACTTCACTTCTGTTTACTTGAAGGTTTTCTTCAAATGTATTTTTTCACATAAGCGATTATATTTAAAAGGAAATCTTACAGCAGCACTGGAAATAGAAAACAAGCATCGAGGGTGGCAAATAAAAAGCATCCACACAAACAAAATGAAAACAAAGTGTGTTATGAAATCCCATGAGGCCCTGGCTGCAGCAGGCCCATGCCCAGAAAGCCCCAGATCCACTCAGGCCAGAAGGACACTGCAGGGCACAGTCATACCTCAGTCTCAGACCTTAGTCACACCCTTGACTGCTTGGCACACTGTGTCTTTGGACCTGACCACACCTTGGTTCTGGGTCTAGTCACACCTGATTCAGGGTCTAGTCACACCTTGATTCTGGAACTAGTCACACCTTGATTCTAGATGTGGCTTGAGTTCCAGGTGTATCTTGATTCTGGATCCTAGATACATCTGGATTCTGGGTTCAGTCACACCTTTAATATTGGGGGCATGCACATTTGTCCAGTCACAGTATTAATCCAAGATGCTGCTCAGAACCTGAGTCCTACCTTGATTCTGGATTGACACCTGGATTTTGGGTTGTGGTGGTCACAACTGTAGTCTATCTGGACTCGGGCACTTTTTACAGGTTGGTTCTGGGATTCACTGGGCCACACCTGGATTTTACTGTGGCCACATTTTGATTAGGATCTGACACCAAGATTCATGCATGGGAGAGCCCCCTACACTGTGGTGAGAGCATTCCTCCTGTGCCCCACAGCATCACAGAAGGCTGCCTACAAGCTCTGCTTCCTGTGCACGTGAAATGACTGAATCTTGGTCACAGTTGAGACATGTTATAAAACCCTGTGAGGCCCTGGCTGCAGCAGCCTGAAGCCCATGCCCAGAGGCTCCAGATCCACCCAGGCCAGGAGGACACTGCAGAGCACACTCACACCTCAGTCTCAGACCTTGGTCACACTCCTGAGTGCTGGGCACACTGGTTTCTGGGTTCTGTTCTGGGGACAGAGTTTACCACTCCCACTGTCTGCTCCTGTGTGTGGCCTGACACAGAGGAAGGACACAGTGTGGCACCATTCATACCCATGCTACCTGCCTGTCTTTTAGACTTACCTGTATCTAAATGCTGCATGTACTGAAAAGCTTTTTTAGCTCAGGGATTCCTGGTGATCTCTTCCTCCAGATGGATCTGTAGGGACCTCCTGGCTAGGCCTCATATGTCCACATCAGTGAGCATGTCTCAAAGTCCATTTTCACTTAAACAGCAAGATGACTCCCACCCAAATACTAGCTGGAAGGTTTTCCTGTTTTCTCAGAAAAACCATAGGACACCCAGCCTACCCACTGGCCTGAATAGGAGAGACAGCCTCCACATGGTTCGGCTGTGTGCTTCTTGCAAGCCTTATCAGCGCCTCAATTAATGTCCTGCCATCTCAAGTTCAGCAACCAGAAGACGGTGTTCAGTATGGAAGTTCAGCCTCAGAAAAGGTCCTTCCTTAATTAAAACTCAGACTTGCCTCTCTCATACTGACTCCTGGGCCTGGTAGATGTTGCTCAGGAAGATGCACTCATATCCAGGGTCGATGGGCATGGAGAAACATGTCTCAAGCTGCAGACCTTGAGACAACTCTGACAAGCCACTGTTCCCTGGTTCTGGAGCTTACCTGTCCAGGGGGTGCTGGCCTGTGCATGGCTTTGCAGAAAGGCCTGGCCCTATGTATTGCAGCCCCCAGAGCCCACTCCCAGCAGTCTTTTGTAAGGGCAGCTTTTGTATGGTGGGGCACTGCCTACAGGCAAAGCCTGAGGAGAGTGTAAGTGGAAGGTCAGAGGCATCACACAACCTGGCCAGCCAGTAGCAGCTGCCCTGGGGGTGGGGGGGCAAGAAGGCAGAAGCTGGCTGGAATCCAGCAGGCTAAAGGAAAATGTGGTCAGAGCTGAGGGCAAACAGGCTAAGGTTGTTAGAGCTGTAACAAAGTGGGTCTACATACATACCGCTGTCTTCCCAGTGGGAGGGGGAGCCTTGTTGCCTCCTCTTAGCCTTTGTCCTATGACCTTGTATGACAAGAGTCAGTCTAGACCGCTGGCTGCTGTCCATCTCATGTACTGGTAATAGGCAGGGTCATCCTAGGAGTATGCGATCTATGCCCTCACCCAGAGCCATGGCTACACTGAACACCTAGGACCACAGACTGGGGAATATCCTCTGAATGAAACACACAGTCAAGGTCCACCCCCCTCCCTACTCTTCCAGCCCCAAACTCTGGAGCCCCAGAGGTGTGTCCCCACTAATCTGTGCCAGTGACCCCCTCACTACCACATGCTTCCCAGTTGTCACCACTGCCACTTGACCGGCAACCTTGAAAGACCATAGATAAATAACCTGGCCAAGAACATTTTGTGGTGTTTCTTGGAACACAAACAACCCTTACCCTAGTTTGACCTCATGCTAATGAAGGAGTGTCAATATAGCCAATCATGTTATGCCTAATGTATCTATGCTAATTTGTGCTTTGCCCCATAAAGAAGCCTTGATACTTTGTTGAGCATTCAGCCTTCCCTGGAGTTCCCTGGAGAACTTCGACGTCCAATTGCACATTAGCTCAATAAAAGCCTCTTGTTGATTGCATCTCCTGGATTGGTCATTGAATCGAGAGGCTTGCCCACCTGCATCTTTAGACCCCGAACTTTGAGTCTAACATTTGGGGGCTCGTCCGGGATTGAGAGCCCCCCCCCCCCAGACTCATTTCCTGAACCAGAAGGAAGTAAGTCTGGCCGGCATTTTGAATTTGTTAAATGTGTTGTCTCTGTCATAAGGTACCTGTACAGGCTCTGTAGAAACTCAAGAAGCAGGCTGACGAGCCAGGAGTCCTCTGAGGTTGAACAGGCAGCCCTCGTCCCTGGGATCCCCAGGCCCGTCTGAATTTTTAGTTTGGGTTTTGCGATGATCTGTTGCTGTGCAGCTTTTGATTATAGGCCTGTCTATTTGTCTGTCTCTTCGTGTTCATTGTTTTAGAATTACCCAGGCATGGGTCAACAACTAACTACTCCCTTAAGTCTGACTTTAGATCATTGGAAAGAAGTCAGAGACCGAGCCAACAACCAGTCGGTCCAAGTCAAGAAAAAGGAATGGCAGACTTTCTGTTCCTCTGAATGGCCCACTTTCAATGTGGGCTGGCCCCGGGACGGGACTTTTAACCATGATATCATCTTGCAGGTCAAGGAGCCGGTGTTCGACACTGGCCCTCACTGACACCCTGACCAGGTTCCTTACATCATTACCTGGGAAAGTCTGGCCCAGGACCCCCCTCCCTGGGTATAGGCTTTTGTCTGCCATAGGAAACAGCCACTCCCGGCACCTAAACTGTCTCCTACCCCCCCATCCCCATCTCTTCTCCATCTGCCCCTCCCATACAGTCCTCCCTCTACCCGTTAGAGGAAATCAAGGACCTCCAAAAGAAAGTCCTTATTCTCCCCGCCGATGACCAGCCGGACCTCCTCACTTTCCATCCTCCTCCTCCTTACCCCCTTTCCCAGGCGCCGGGCCCTGCCGCTCCAGCTCCCCCCACTGGCCGGAAAACATGGGGCCATCACCATCACCCCCCATGGCTACCCATCTCCGTCTCCGAAGGAAGCGAACGGATGACACCAGCCCCTAGTCTTCCCAACTTTTCCCCCTTTAGTCAGTGGGTGACCAGATGCAATGTTGGCCCTTTTTAGCATTAGACCTTTATAACTGGAAGACCCACAACCCTCCCTTTTCCCAAGACCCTCAAGCCCTTACCGGGCTCATAGAGTCCATTTTACTAACCCATCAACCCACTTGGGATGGTTGTCAGCAACTTTTACAGACCCTCCTCACCACAGAAGAGAAGCCAGCTAAGGAACGTCGCTGTCGGAAGTCGGGAGGGCAGGCGGTGACGTTGTGAGGAGAGCTTTAAAGTGTGGGCCGGGCCGGTCTGACCCAGAGTCTGGCCGAGGCATGAGGCACTGCCAATGCCCTTGTTCCTCAGGACGTGGAGAAGGTGGAGGAGGAAGAAGCCTCGCTGTCACTTGTGCTGCATGACCAACTGCAGCTAAGGTTCGACCCCTTCCTGGCCCCTCTTACCCCCTCCCCCGCTGGTTCCTTGGGCCAGGCATGACAACCTGGCACTGAGGACCCCCGTTTCCCTCTCGGCCCTGGGGGGGGGCCTAAAAGCCATGCCGGGCCACCCTGGTGGACCCTAGAGTGATTTGTGGGACCATGGTGGCCGCCAGCAGCTACACAGACCTGTATGAGAAGCTCAAGTCCATGACGTTCTGGGACAACTACAAGGCAGGCAGCCTGGAAGCCGCCGCTGCTGCTGCAGCTGCCACTGTAGCCGCTGTTGCGGCTGCCAGGGCCGCCGTTGAGCCTTACCCGGTATCCAGGACCACCAAACAGAAATACCAGGAGGACTCGGACCCAGAACGCAGTGATTACGAGGAGCAGTAATTGCAGGAGGAGGAGGAAACGCAAGATGAAGAGCAGAATCCACCAGATTCGTCTCTTCAGCCAGGATGAGTGCTCCAAGATAGAGGCCGGCATCGATTAGGTGGTATCCAGTGTCGAGAAAGGCCTGTTACGATGAGCACACCATGGACCGGGCCCCCCTGCGCAGCAAGTACTTCTTCAGCAAGGGCTACACGTAGGCGCCCAGCTGCAAAAGTGAGGGCCAGGCCAGGAGCACCTCTACCCTCCGGGCGACATCGATGAGATCCCCGAGTGGGTGCATCAGCTGGTGATCCAGAGAAGCAGAGAGTCATCTTGGAGGCTCGGAAGAACATACCGGGACCCAATGGGGCCCCCACGCAGCTCCCCAATGAGATCGATGAGGCATTCCCCCTGAACAGACCCAACTGGGACCACAACATACCTGCAGGTAGGGAGCAACTCTGTCTTTGTCGCCAGGTTCTCCTTGCAGGTCTCAAGGGCGCTGGCAAGCAACCCACTAATTTGGTCAAGGTAAGATCAGTCACCCAGGGGCCAGAAGAAACCCCCACCATTTTCTTAGAAAGGTTAATGGAGGCATACCGTATGTATACTCCTTTCGACCCCGCCAGTCCCAAGTGGCAGGGTAAAATGATGATGGCATTCATCAGGCAGTCAGCCCTCGATATTAGAAATAAATTGCAACGTTTAGAAGGGTTGCAGGATTATGCTTTTCAGGATTTAATGAAAGAGGCAGAAAAGATTTTCAACAAGAGAGAGACGCCAGAGGAAAAGGAAGAAAGACTTAGAAAGATGCAGGAAGAGGAAGAGGAGAGGATTCGAAGAGAGCAAGAAGAGAATGAAGAAAGACTAGATAAAAAGAGATCCAAGGAACTGAGTAGAATCTTGGCCACCGTAGTACAAACTAGGCCAGAAGCAGGAAGGCAGGATAGGAATCTGGGAGACACAAGACAACCCAAGGTAGATCAGGACCAATGCACCTATTGTAAAGAAAAAGGCCATTGGGTTCAGAGACTGCCCTAAGAGACCAAAGGATGCAAGAAACGGCAGACGCAAATTTCTTTAGAGGACTAGAGCAGTCAGGACCAGGAACCCCCCCCCCCAGCCTCGGATAACCCTTAAGATGGGGGGGGGCAGCCTGTGACCTTCCTGGTTGACACCAGGGCTCAGTGCTTGGTATTGACAGAATCAAAGGGGCCCATGAGCGGAAAAACCTCATGGGTGCAAGGGGCCATGGGTGGAAAGCTGTACTGGTGGACCACCGACGGTAAGGTCCAACTGGCCACTGGCAAAGTGACTCATTCCTTCCTGCATGTGTCGGATTGTCCTTACCCCCTTTTGGGAAAAGACATCCTCTCTAAATTAGGAGCCCAAATTCAGTTCCATGCAGAAAGGGCCTCCTTCACTGAACCCCAGATATTGCCACTGTAGGCCGAAGCTGACAGCCCTGAACCTGAGTCTCCCCCGCTTAATTACTCTGATCTGGATTTGGACATTGTTCAACAACTGGAGGCCAATTATGACTCTGACACAGAAGGATGGAGGTATCAAGGCAAATTGATTCTCCCCCAAAGGGACGCCAAAAACCTACTAACTTCCCTCCACAAGCTGACACATTTGGGAAAGAAAAAGATGACCACCTTGCTAATGCGAGAACTCTTCTTCTATATACCTAATATTGGTTCCATGATACAGAAAATTGTTGATGACTGTATCCCGTGTGCCAAGGTCAATGCTGGTAGACTCAAGCTACCCGAAGGCACATGGGCAAGGGGGCATCGACCAGGCACTTACTGGGAGATAGACTTCACAGAGATCAAACCAGCATGTACGGTAACAAATATCTTTTAGTGTTCATAGATACCTTTTCAGGATGGGTTGAAGCCTTTCCAACCAAAAAGGAGACTGCCCAGATAGTGGTCAAGAAGATACTGGAGGAAATTTTTCCCTGGTTCAGACTGCCTAAGGTAATAGGGTCCAACAATGGCCCACTTTTGTCTCCCAGGTAAGTCAGCTGGTGGCCAGGCTACTGGGGATTGATTGGAAATTACATTGTGCATATAGACCCCAAAGTTCAGGACAGGTAGGAAGAATGAATAGAACCATTAAAGAGACCTTAACTAAATAAGCAATGGAGACTGGCACTAAAGACTGGGTTCAACTCCTACCCATGGCCCTCTTCAGGGCAAGAAATACTCCTGCATGGCATGGCCTCACCCCGTTTGAAATCCTCTATGGAGGACCTCCCCCCACCTCATTTTTTGATTCTGATATTTCTGCTTATGCTAACACCCCAGTTCTGCAGGCCCACCTGCAAGCCCTTCAGGCCGTTCAGGAGCTGCCGCATATCTCGAGAAGGGATCCCTGGCCTGCCCACACCCTTTCAGAATCAGGGACTCCTTCTATGTTAGAAGACACCAATCTAAGACTTTGGAGCCTTGCTGGAAAGGACCTTACACTGTGCTCCTGACTACCCCCACATCACTCAAAGTGGACGGCATCACAGCCTGGATTCACGCTTCACACGTCAAGTGGGGACCACCAGAGAGCAGTGACATCCCAGAAGCACCAGCTACATGGAAACTACAACACACTCAAAATCCACTCAAGATAAGACTTTCAAAAGTTGCCTAATACTGTGTTTCCTTTTAGGTCTCATAGCCCCATGCATGAGCAGCCCCCATGCCCAGCAACAACTTACCTGGCAGGTTTCCTCTCAGACAGGAGAGGTTGTCTGTCAACCACAGGCTCATACCCCCCAGGGCTGGGAACCTGCCTGGGAGACCCGCTTTCCTCCCACCAACACCTAGGTAACCATACCATACCCCACCCTGGACAAGCCTCCTACCTAGTTCCTGAGCCTGGCCTCTGGTTGGCATGTAGCACTGGGTTGACCCCCTGTGTTTACACCCAGACTCTCAACCTTACTCAGGACTTTTGTGTACTAATCCACCTGCTGCCTCAAGTCTTCTACCACCCTGCTAATTGTCTGGAGCAGGTCTATGAGGGACAGCCCAGCCAGTTCCGTAGAGAGCCACTATCACTCACCCTAGCCATTCTGGTGGGAATGAGGGTGGCAGCAGGGGTGGGCACAGGGACAGTGGCCCTCATACAAGGCCTCCAACAGTACAGTGAGTTAAAATCAGCTATGACAGAAGACTTGAAGGCCATAGAAGGGTCTATCACTAGGCTTGAATACCCCCTAGCCTCTCTAGCTGAAGTAGCCCTTCAGAATCGTAGGGGCTTGACCTCCTCTTCCTAAAAGAAGGAGGACTATGTGCAGCCCTAAAAGAAGAATGTTGTTTCTATGTCAATCATTCTGGGGTTATCAGGGACCCCATGGCCAAGCTTAGAGAGAGGCTCAGCCAGCCGCAGAAAGAGAGAGAAAGAGGCCCAACAGGGTTGGTTCAAAGGATAGTTTAACAAGTCCCCTGGATGACGACCCTTATGTCCACTATATTAGGACCCCTGATTATTCTCCTACTTGTGCTCACCTTTGGACCTTGCATTCTTAAACGCTTGATCCAGTTTATTAAGGACCTTTTCTTCCATCACCCAAGCCCTAGTTCTTACTCAGCAATATCAGTCCCTCAAACAACAGGAGGGACTGAGTTTTAAGATTAAAACTATGACAAAAAGAAATGGTGGAATGAAAGACCTTAGATAAATAACCTGGCCAAAAACATTTTGTGGTTTTTCTTGGAACACAAACAACCCTTACCCTAGTTTGACCTTATGCTAATGAAGGAATGTCAATATAGCAAATCATGTTATGCCTAATGTATCTATGCTAATTTGTGGTTTTGCCCTATAAAGGAGCCTTGATACTTTGTTGGGCATGCAGCCTTCCCTGGAGTTCCCTGGAGAATGCTGACACCCCCCCACCCCCCACCCTGATTGTGCATTAGCTCAATAAAAGCCTCTTGCTGATTGCATCTCCTGTACTGGGCCTTGCCAACCTGCATCTTTAGACCCTGAACTTTGGGTCTAACAACCTGTCACCATTGTATGTGGGTCTCTCTCTCTCCTTCCCCATCTCTCTGTCTTTTCAAGACAGGATCTAGTCTCTGTGTAGCCCTGGCTTTCCTGGAACTCACTATGTAGACCAGGTTGGCCTTGAACACACAGAGACCTGCCTGCCTCTGCCTCCCGAATGCTGGGATCAAAGATGCAAAGGTGTGTGCCACCTCATCCAGCTGATGTATGTTTCTGATATGTTCCCAGAACTTAGAGTGTGAGGAGGTGGGACTTACGAGAGGCCATGGAGGACCATAAGGTCCCTGCTCCTGTCGTGGCTCCTGTCATGAGGACTGCTGGAGGTGAATCATTCCCAGAGATTCAGCTGAATGGTCTCTAAACCCACTGACAACTCCCAAGGTGACAAGGGACCAGAGCCAACACACATGTGACCAGCTGCTTCACACATACACATATTCCTAGTATCCACATACACACACAGCTCTCTCTCTCTCTCTCTCTCTCTCTCTCTCTCTCACTCTGTCACACACATGCACACACTCCTTCACAGTTTCTGGGTCCCCTGGCCCTTTGTCACTTTTGTTCCACAGTTCCACAACCGGATGCTTATGGGCTCTCCTCCAATCCCATTCACCCCTCAGCTAACCTCAGCTGGTGTCTGTGTCAAAGGCCCTCATCACACAGGACTAGGGATGACCTAGCTATTGACATATAACTGGCAAACCTGGCCTTTCATTCCTGCTCTGGGTACAAGTGTAGCTACAAAGTGTCCCACAAAGTGGCGTCCTCTTTGTCATTCTAGTCCTCCTAGGGACCCTGGGGTAGTATGTCCCCAAGATAACCCACCTCATAGTCACTAGGGAAGGCCCACAGGCCACCAACCTGCATGTCCACCTCCAGCAGACAAAGACACAGAGGTCCAGGAAGTGTCAGAGGGTAGGATTTGAACACAGGGCCCAAGCTCAGTTCTCTCCAGACTGGGAAAGTATCTGACCCAAAGGCAGGAAGGCTTCTCTGTATGCCATATGTGAGCACAGAGGACACTCGGGCAAAGGCCAAGCTGACAAGCACACCCTGGTACTCGCTCTGTAGACCAGGATGGCACTCTATCGGGAGGAGACCTCACCACCCATGCTGTCCCTGGAGCCTCTCTTCGCCATCACCTTGACTGGATATAGTATAACCTTGCGGATTGTTTAAAGAGGAGACTGTAGAAATGGCTCAGGGGTGAAGACCACCTCTTGCAGAGGACCCAGGTTAATTCCCAGCCCCTAAATGGCAGCTCACAATCACCTGTAACTCCAGTTTCAGGGCATCTGACACCCTCCAATGGCCTCCGAGGGGACCAGTACACACATTCATGCAGGCATACACACATACACATAAATTAATGTCAAACCTTTTTTAAAAAACAAAGAAGAAATGAAGCAGGAGGGAGATATGGAGATATGGGGCAGGGGTCAGGGAAAGTTGGAACAGGGAATAGAAGTGAATATAATCAGATATAGTATATACATGTATTAAATTCTCAAAGAATAAATTAAAGATACATTTAAAAATAAAATAATTCAGGAGACAGCACTGTGAGAGAGAGAGTGTGGGAATGCAGTTCCAGAGAGTCTAACTGTGGAAGGATGTAGTGAGATAGTCATTCTGTGGCACTGACCATGCCCATTGGGGGTGGAGCCATGGGCGGATGCGACCTGTGGAAGAAGGTCTGAGGAAGAGCAGGGAAAAGCTCTCTTGCTGGCGGGACTCGGACAGGAGAGCATCCGGTGGAATTTCCTGGTGTTCGTCTGTCTAGATTGTAAGTTATTTCTCCCTGAATAAACATCTATTCGGCCTATTCGTTTATCCTGATCCTTATTTAACCACGATAGAAGGAAGACTCCCTGAGGGTGGGTACCACTGTCCCATGGGCTGGTGCCCCAGACTGGATGCAAAGGGTAGAGGGAGGAAGCCAGAGAATGCAGCCTTCATTTCCTCTCCTGTCTGGAACCATCTGCTGCTCTCATTTCCCTGCTGTGGGGGACCACAGTCACAGC